ACCCCGGAAACCCTAAACCCTCAACCCTAAACCCTAAACCCTAAAACCCTAAACCCTCAACCCTAAACCCTAAACCCTAAACCCTAAACCCTAAAACCCTAAACCCTAAACCCGAGGGTTTTGGTTCCGGATTGTGGGTGCGAAGGCTTCTTTCTATTCGAGGGCCTCCAACGAAGAAGTGTACACCAACTCCCCTGAACGACCCTCGACCACACTTCTCTATAAGGGTTTAGGGTAATATAGGGGCCTCAATAATTACCTATACTATTTAGGGGGGTTCCTTATTGTAATTATAGTATAATATACCCCAAAACCCTATTCTAATTAATTATTAAGGCCCCTACATTATACAGAAAAAACTACAGTGCAAGTCTTCCAAAAGTTTCCTTCTGACCCAATGCACTCAGTAATTTTCGCAGGTGCTTTCCAAGATCGTATATTGAGCCAAGGAAGGCGTAGAGGTCCGTACTGGATTGAAGTACAAACCAAACGCATCTTCCCGGAAGATTTGGAGCCACATCGCAACTTCCCTTACAGGGCCTCACTGGAAGTAAACCCTAAACCCTAAAGTACACTGTCAGTTGCGGAAATCGCCTTACGAGCTGGCGCCAAAGCACGCGCGCGCGCAGAGCGCACAGGGGCGATATAGCAGAAAGCCTCAAACAGCACATGGGTAGTTTTCTAGGTCCCCAAGTTAGTACGGCACCGGTATAAAAAGGACCCTAAATGGGACCCTAATTTCGAGAACCACCCACATTTGCCAAGCTCCAAGGCTCTTGCTCCCTGAGCCATCCTGTTCTCTTGGTTTAGAGTTTGAGATTTAAGGTTTAGGGTTTGGGGGTTTAGGGTTTAGGGTTTAGGGTTTATGGGTTTAGGGTTGAGGGTTTCTGCGTTTAGGGTTTAGGGGTTTAGGATTTAAGTTTAGGGGTTGAGGGGTGTAGGGTTCATAGGGTTCAGGGTGAGCCTTGCAGCCACCAGGCTGTGACGCGGCAGCAGGCCCGGGGAGTTAGCTTTGCGCGAGATTCGGGGTTGGAGTCAGGGCCCCTAAACGCTAAACCCTAAACGCTAAACCCTAAACCCTAAACCTCAAGGCAAAAACCTCTGAGCCCGGAATAATTGCAGTATACTA